TGACTAATTTATAATTTTAGTGAAAATTAATTTCTATTTTTTATTTTAGCTGGACCTCCATATACTTTGTATTTTGGTATTAAATTCTATGCTGAGGATCCATGTAAACTTAAAGAAGAAATAACCAGGTATGATATTGGCTTTTTTTTGGAACAGATACATGCATGGAATACACAAAAGGCTTTATTTAAAGCAAAGTAAAATTGGGATAAAACATTTGGATGTGTGTCTACCTGTGTTTTGTAATGCATCTCCTGCGAGGGTTAAATTCAAACCAGCATTGCACAGGCCGGATCGGTGTCTGATGATAGATGTGTTTGAAAAAGGGCATGAACCTGGGTGACATGATGATAGATTTTGCATCTGCTGTGGTGAGGTATTTCTGTATCTTCGTTGTTAAGCAGGCTTTGTATTCATAGAAGAGTAGTCGTTTGAACTGCCTAAGGAAGGATATTTTGATGCTCAGTTTGTATATGTTAATATACATTTGAAGAGTCAGTTATTTTTCTCTAATTGGTTGTAGCTTAAATATGAGCTATCCAGGTATTTCATTTATCTGTCTAGTAATGAAAAGGTTATTGTTTTTAGTATTAAGAAAGGAGAGAAAAGACCAGTATTTTAATGTATTACTCTACCTTTGTCGTCAAATATTTGATTTCAGTTAAGGCAGGATTTCCAGTTGGTATTGATTTAGATTGTCAAAATAGTCCTCGTACAACATATGAAAATGGCTTATAAAGAGCAGAAAGTAAGTAGTGTTATGTTTTAACTTATTCCACTAGTGACCTGTCTGCATGTAGTCACAAAAACAGAATCATTTTCTCTCACTTAACTCTAAGTGGTCAGTTTTCTCTGTGAACTATTATTATGGGCTCAGTAAAGCCTAATATATTACTAAAAAAAAAAAATCGAAAGTTGTATCTTTGATAACTAAGGCAGTATGTGGTTTTGTTTCTATTCCATCTTTTCATATTTTTCCTCAGACTTTCTTTTGTCTTTATTCTAGAATACACATGGAAGAGTGAGAAAAGGGTAGACTAATTGGACCTTTTTCATCCCACTCTGAAATGCCATCTTCAGGCCTCACTTTTAGAATCATGCAGATGTCTTCCATTGTCACATTGTTGGGGAGCACTTTGAGAAGTGCCAGTTCAGACTTCCCCAGAGCACACCTCTTTGGGAGATTGGCCACTGGAGTGAGGAGGAGATGTTGAGGAGAGGGGTGGTATTTACATTAGAGTTTCAAGGGGAAATTGAATCCAAGTGGCATAAAAATACATTTTAACTCAGGAAATTGCATGGGAACAACATTTTATTAAAATGCAATGAGTCTTTCATTTTGAGGTAGTAATTTGTGCCTCAATTTCCTCAATTATAAAATTGGAGATGTACCTGTCTCATAGGTTTTTGTAAGTATTAAATGGAATAATATCTATAAAGCTCCTATACTTGTGTTTGACTCATAGCAATTGATAAGTGTTAATAGTTATGATTTCATTCTTTCCTTCCTCTGACAGTGTAGTACCTCTTAAATGGGGGTTAGGTTTCAGAAATACTTGAGTTAGTGTTAAGGGGGAAAGATGAGTGTTTTATAACATTACTTCACCTTTGTTCACCACATATTAACAGTGAACAGAAATTTCCCTTCAGAATCTACTGATGACTCATTAACAGAATACATGGATTTATGTATAATGTATAACCTCACAATATTTTCAATACAACCAGTTTTCCTGAAGAATTATACCACTCATGCAGTTAAGAACAAAATGACATAGTTGGCTTACAATTAGTGTCCACAGTCTGTAATAATTTATTTTATTTTTTGCCTAAAACTTATAGTTGAATTTAGGTAAATTAAATGTACATTTAATGTGATATCACTATATTCCTGTTATTAGTATGTGCTAAAGATACAATCATTTATTTGCATGAATATGTTAACTTTTATGGACATGAAAAAGGGAATCAATTACATAAAATAATTTTGACAAAA